ACATTTTCATCCTCATGATTTTTATAAATTTATGTTTAAATAAAAACCAAGTCTTATCTGCATTCAACAAAACATTTCCTATATGCTTCTTCAAAACATCTTTATGATTTCTACCACCGCTAGAGGCACTGTTTAAATTCTTCAGAGAGGAGATCAGTTCAGGGTGGTCTGAACAGCGCATTGCACCTTCAGCAAGTGTAAGTAACATCAGGTCTTAAGCAACAGCAACGTCACTTGGCCTGTCTACAACAAAGTCAGTTTTGCAGTTGTGGGAAACCTCAAATGGTTTTTTTTAAGGTAAAACAATGACATCTCCAGAAATTACATCATGAAAGCCAAGAAAACAGAAGTTAAGCAACTAACAGTAAACGGAAGTGTTTCATTTGATGCTTACTAAAATCAATGCTTTAAAATTTGATATCAGAATTTCATTAAAAATTCAAAACCTGCAGCTAAGCTCAAAATAACACACAACCTAAGACTCTTGTCCCAGTAGTCTACAACAAAATCAGGAGAGTCAATAAATGCACATTTTGGCTTCCCATTCCCAAAGCTACCTCTTACAATGCCTTTTGCAAAAACTCGAAAACAAAACCAAAAAAACAAAACAAAACCCAAAAGTACACACAAAAAAGATGACAATAGTTATTAGCCTCTTAACTACAGCTAAAACCAAACCGTGTCCACACATTTTGCTTTCTCCATTATATTCCTGGCCCTGAGCAACTGCTCTTTATGTGAGTGGTCAAATCAGCCACTACTGTCAGAGGGTTAGTCTGAGCTGAGAAATGGCTAAATCTATGAATATCATGCACTATTCCTTCCTTGTAATTGGGAGAAAGTGCCTTTTTATTTAAAACATGACAAATTTATGTGACTGTGGATATTACTGTTTGAAACTTGTACAGCTACTGAACAACTGGAACGGTAGATATGTTAAAGTACACTAACTCCTATTGCATTAGATTGCTATATTTAAACTGTTAATATAATACTATTGTTAAAACAGACAGTCATCTGAGATGGCTTAACACTATCAGTGTCAGAACTTAAATACAAGAGAATCCATTTAATCAAAACATTATGTTTTATATAATGAATTAATCATTCACTTGGCTTTCAGCTGCCTTTGAACAAAGTATTTCACGACACCACTTTACCTTCTGTATAGCTTCAATTAATAAATGCTTTTAACCAAATAGACTAATTGCAGGTTACCAATTGAAACACAAACATTTCCCAGCACATGTTCTTTCTGGAAAGGCTTTATGAGAATGAGTAAAATAAATTTGTGCTTAAATACTACATTTCAGGATATAACAATAAAGCCTTTATCAGTGAGATAACTATGTTTAAATTTACTTGACTGAGTGTGAGCCATAAGTCTATTTTCAACAGTGGACCATTTATGCATTTAGTCTGACACACAAGAACATCATCTACAGGGAAAAACTTCTGTTGTAAAAAAGTATCATACTATGCTTGTAATAAGGCTGATGCATAGTTTATTAGATAATTCAGAACTACAGTTCTTTTGAAAAAAAATATTTTTAAGTAAGTATCACATAGTAGAAAAAAGGAGGGGGAAGATAGAACAAACTGTTTAAAAAAAAAAAAAAGAAGAGTGTATACGAAGAGTTATTCTTGAATTCTTGGGTACCCTTGCATATAATTCAGTACCAAAACCTAAAAGATAACATTATTGAAAGCAAAGCCCCGGAATACAATTTTTTTTTTTTTTTTTTCAAAACACCACCATTACTAGTCAAGGTTTGGTTGTATTTTAATGATTCATGTTTCATACATCCTGTTACACAAAAGGCATTCATGGCTTACGGCACCATTTTCCTTATTTTCAATATGTGATACGACCTGTCCCTCCCACCTCTGTCTCAGCAGTTTCCCTGTGATATTTCTGAAAACACTCTAAATAGGCATGTTAGTTACTTCTATATCAAATATCAAGCCCCTTAGTTAAAATTTCTTTAATTCTGAAGAAAAAATGTTAGTGTGTTTCACAGCGCTAAAAATCTCAAGGGCTTATTACTCCCTCTTCACTCACTGCCGTTCTAGAAATTTTGAATAACTTATCATGACTACACAAGCACAGGCAAATTTGAAGTTAAACTATTTATGAAGGTAATACAGAATCCTGACTTCTTAGCATTTTCTGTTGTCAGCTGCTTGACAGTTAAAAATTGTTAGGAGTTTTAACTCCTACCAAAAAAAAAAATAATTAAAATATCCAGTCAACTTCATGTCTTTCTAATTTCCTAATTCTTATAGAAACAAAAGCCAGCATTAAGAAGATATTTTCCTAATTATGCTTTCATTGAAAGATCAGATCTAAGGCATACACGATTCAGTGCAAAAGTCATCACACACTACAGAGAGAAGACAAAAACCCCTTCATTCTCCCCTACAGACCCTACAGGTACATGTGCAAAACCCAGCAAGACTGAAATAAAGATGGACACAACATACAAGATACTTGCACAGTTAATATTTGCTCTATGGTTTTACAAAAAAAAAAACAACAATCAAATATTACATGGATTACTATTTTTATAGCTTTGAGTAGTGCCTCAATGGCTAGCAATTTCAAACGAGTTATTAAAATCCAAGTAAGAGTTCAGGAATGGCATTACCAAAACCATCTAAGTTTACCCGAACAAGAGCAGCATTTATTGTCACAATATGACCATCATCCTTTAAACACACACGTACTAATGTAAGCCAAGTCTATACCATTGTTCTTGAGACTGTGTTTTGGTAAATAGATATTCAACATGAAGAAACATAAATAGCAATAGGAATATAGCAATTTGAACAGAAATAAACCATAAGCTTAATCAAGTACTTCCATGAAAGAAACAGATGTCACAAAGAGATGCTCTAAATATTTTCCTACTATTTATTTTCTTGCTTTTTTCCCCTCTTTGACTTTTTCACTTCTTGACAAACTATTAATTGCAAGTCATGCCAAATGCAAGGGATGACTTTGAGACCTAGACACACTGAAATATAAAGAAAAAAAAATACAAAATTACTAGAAAGACACACACATACCAAAAGGAAAGCTTTTGTTAACTGCCCAGCAGGCACAAATTCTTTAGTCCCCACTACTCCTTGCATGGGAAAGAGCTACTAGCTTTTCTCCCTGTGCAACATTTTCTCTAACAGCAGCCAGCAGCCTGCGCTTGTACATCACTTTTCCACATGCATTTTTCACGAAAGCTTCCTGAGCAACATGTGCGTGCCCAGTACGTTTGGAGTTATGGACAGACTGAGTGACCTGATGCAGTTTAGCAAGTTAAGAGTGAACCAGAGTTGCCTTCCTACCTGTGCCCAATCAAGAAAGAGCATCATGATCCAAAATATTATAGAAACTTCAGTGAAAGAGAAAACTGGACTGCAGTACATAAAACAGAGCACAAATCTATTCACCTTCAACCTAACAAAGCCAAGAAGCTTTCTTTCCATGCTGCCAGTTACACTGTGTGTTCCAATTAATACCCTTTTGATCAATAAATAGTAACCAGGTATCTTCTTTACCTAGAACTACTAACGTAATCTTGAAGAAAGGACCAAGCCTACAGAAGACAAGAGTCAGCAGTTAAGCACATCCAACATTCACTTTTCATCTGTCTCCCAGGGAAAAAACATAACCTTCTGGTAACATGAGATGCATATTGTACAGCTGTGGTAGTTTCGATAATGAAACTCCAGATACAAATGATAATATCCATAATACAAACCATAGTTCTAAAATATATTTGAACATGTGTGTGTAAATATATATATATCTAAAAAGAAAATTATCTAATTTTCTCTTTTATACATGTATAAACATCTGGTTAATATGTCCCATAGGTTTTTTCCTTATTTAAGACTAAACTTTTAAATAACAGGCTTTTTTAAACAATCCCTTAGAATATGTTTCTTTAAACACTATTCAGAAATGAAGCGCTACCTCGGGGTAATCAAAAAGCACACACGAAATAAATTAACATCATAAAAATGTGGTTATATTGTTCAGAAAGTCCAATTCTCCCATTTGAAATGAAATGGAGACCAGTGTACCTTAGGGTGAATTATTCAATGTATAAATTCTTTCTCTCTTTCCATGTACATCTTCATGTGAATTCAGTTGCATTTCTACAAAGCAGGGAACACAGTAACGCTGCAGAATTCTTGCAAAAGGGAGCTGTGTTTCACTGGGTAAGAGCAGTTTTTGCTGAAGGGCAGCAAGGCAAAATTTTATCACTGTCTGAACACTAGAAACACCTGTGCCCTTACAAGCTTCACACCTTGAATTAGCAGCAACATATCTGATGGGTTCAGTAGTAATTTTTCTTCCAGTATTGGATTAGACTACTTTGCATATACAGTAAGTCAAAAGTCCAGTACTTGTGTGCAACATTAATCCACATTTACATCTGAGAACTCATAAATACCCATGGAAACAAAGGTGACAGAGAATGAAACCTCATTTTAAGTTAAAGTGTTTTCAGTCGACATATAGAAACAACAGTGGAAAAACAAGTATAAAGGAGATGGACAGCACAAACAGAATCAGTACAATAACTAAAACTGTAAGAAGTAGGTCATTGTTAAAAGGGCAAGTTGCAATTAAAATTATCACCAGAAGATGTAGACTGTACCATCTGCATAAATGCTTAAATGTAGCATTATTTTGCACATCACATAAAGTAGATGTGATTTCTAAGAAGCATATTACAACAGCTGGCATACTTAATAATAGATTTATGGTAACTGAATACTTAATTTCACCAGCTCAACATACACTAGTTTATGTATTAGTCTTCAACGCTCTTCATCAGCCTTTTAGAAGTCAAGGTCATATTTCCATGAATATTTAGTGTCCCAATAAGAAAGTTACGAATACTCACCTTCAACGAACTTTCATAAAATACAGAGATATTAAAGACCTTCTTAAGCTGAATCATTTCAATACTATGAGGGTGGGGGGTTTTTGCTGTTTCAAAGGAAATACAAGGACCTTTGTAACTTCTGAAGTGAAGGCTGTTTTAAGGCAGTAAAAGATATGTGTTAGGGTTTCCATGATTGTTTATGGTTGTCTATGTGAATAAAGCATATTACACACAATTGGTCTCATACATTTATCTACATGACTTTGTACACGATTCAGCAATCTTCTTGAGAAATTTAAAGTGCCACAGTTCAAATGTGCTCATCTGTCTTTTCATGGGCTTCTAGTCCATTCCAGTTGTTTTCAGAAACAAGCCCTTACTTTACTTAAAGAGCAGTCTTTTTAGGGGAAAAAAGAATTCATCCTTCACTGCTGTGCTAACTGGAATCCAGTGGTCGAACCAATCCTTCTTTGTAAACACGAAGAATAGCTTCACAAACAAATTTGTATTGACTCTGTGTAAGAAAGAAAAACAAAATCATTTATGGATGATTAGCTAAACTCTGGATTATACAGCAGTATTGAATTGGACTAACAGTCCCACTGCTTTCTTTTCTCAATGATAGGAGAGGAGATACAAGGATGGAAAGTAAAAATCCAGCTCTCCTGGTTGCGTTCGCAGTAAACAAAGGTAACATTTACTCTTCCTTGATGGACAACCACTAAACAAATCTCACATCAAGGAAAACACCATCCCCAAATTTAAAAGAACATATGCTTAAATTTCAGGGAATAGAATTTATTTGTAAAAGCTACGCAAATTTATACAATTCTTCTGACAAAGTTTAACTAGCAATTTATGTTCTTTATATATCTCATCTATTTTTTTGGTAGCTACCTGATTATTACAAGTATTCTAACCATGCCCATCATGCACTTACATATAACTGGGCACATTTAAATTATGTGACCAAAAACGCATTTAAAGTTACCATACAGGATATACAGGTCCAACTGCCTTGCTAAAAGCTGGTTTTTGTGACTTTTTTCCACGATCCTGCAACGTACCTGTTTGTTACAAGCAATCAGCCTGTGAACATCTTTCTGAAAACTGATATAAGGAGACACTAGCAATAGGACTAACGCAGAACTAAAAATCCACATAGCCTGAAAAAATTGTTATGACTAACATAATCCTGAGAGCACAAGATGATGGAAATTTAAGAGAACTTAGAGATCAAAGCATAGATCTCCTCTTTGCCAAAAGTACTTTTCACTACTGTCAAAACCCCAAGATGATCACCTTTCTCCAAATCTCCAGGTCATATATTCAGAGAAGAACAGCTTTGCATATTCTAAATCTCTTTTTACATCTTTGAAATATTCTCCCAGCTGCCCTTGTTATACCAGCTCTCAACTCTCCAGGAGTATCTGGAAACATTCCCCCGCTATCTCCCAAAGGACAGAGCTAAAAGATAACAGTTGGACTGTGAAGGACCTTAGGTTGCATTTAAATAACAGTAGTTAGGAATGTTACTTTAGCTGTAACCTGCAATACATTGTCTCTTAAGTGCAGAAAAACTTAAGGAAAACTGGGGGATGGAAATTAATTTTCTGCATCTAGATTTACCTGCCTTTCCTTTCAACCCTTCAGTCAATTACTCCCACTTCGGTATCACTCTGTTCTTTTGTCTTTATTTCTTAATTACCTTGACTTTTCTCTTCATTGTTATTGTCATTTGCATATTTCTACTGCCTGAACAAGCCAAGTGTGATATTTAGCTCTCTGTTGAATACTTCTGTTAACTTGTGGGATGAAGTTACCGAACAAATAAGAATGAGGACTTCAGCATTGCTTCTTCTGACTCAGACTCCGCTTGTTTTCTTCGCTCTTACCTTCTGCATGCTCACTCAGCTGATAACTATTTTATTATGCATGTCCTAAAGCACTGCTTTCTGTATTTTTTAGTATTTTTAATTTCTCTTAAATGGAACTAATGGTTAGGGGGTTTTATTTTATTTTGTTTTTTTTTTAAATTTTATTTTGTTTTTAAATGAAAGGCCATGCAGTTACACAAATTTTGCTGTAGCTTTATTAATTTGGTTGAAATTTCTGTTTTGCTGTTCCTAACGACCAAATTACAGGTCATCAGTCTTCAGATTGCACATGATTAACAGCAGACACTAAAATGACCAGTTAATAGCTCTGATGAGTCCATTCTTACTTAGTGAGTATGCCCTGTCTGCTCTTAACTCACACCATGCATCTGGCTATGTGTATCATCTTCAATTTGGAGCACACACACAATCCACATAGGGCACCTGAACACGCTTCAGGCAAGGTTCTCACAACTGAACAATCCCTCTGTTACAGCTGAACAATTCCTAATGGCTTCTCCCAGAAGCCTTAAGTGGAATATTAAATATAGCAGTGGGGCTAGCTGGAATGCAGGCACGGGAATGCAACAGAACACCCAGGATAAATCAAAATGTTAACATGCAGCTCTTCGGTATTCTGTTTTCTCACAGTTGAGTGTGCGCTTCTGTGTCTCGTGTGCAGCACAACGTGCCAATTCTGCTCATTGGCTTTTCACAACAGTATCTGCATACTTCAGAAATGAGAAGTGAATTTAGTTTCATAGTATTGTTGCTACAGATCATCCCTCTCTGGATGGGGCTGATTGTTCTGTTACTTCAAACTAGAGTGCAAGGACAATTCCTTCTGATCCTCGTTGTAACAGGACAGACTTGCCATTCTGGCAAGCTGAAGTTTACTTTAAGTTCTCATGTCTGACTCTCAAAAAGGTGACCACCTCCAGAAAGTTAAAGCCTGAACCTGCTCAGTTCTTTTTAGAAACTGAGGAGTATAACAGGTACAACTACAGAAGTCAACGTTCAGCTTCCTTAAACTTGAGATTAATGCTTCTCATCTCATGACATGCTGTCATAAACTCAACTTCCACAAGGAACACGCAGAGGACTATTTAGTGAACTCCCTCCTCAACGATACAGTCCTGATGCACTTCCAGAGCGCACTCATACTGCAGTGAATGAGTCCCAGCAGCATGCAAGAACAATCTCTGCTCACAGAGCACTCTAATGTTACACAAGCAACTGAAATTCCTGCTATTCTTTGATAACACAAGACTTTTCCACCCATCTAGTGAAGGATTATGGTAGCTCCTGCAATCATTAACCTGTTAATGACTGCAATTTGTCATCTCAAGTTACCTTCTCTATTCCTTTGATCAGGTGGAAATAAAGGCATTTTCTTTGGAAGATGAGGAAAAAAATGCCCAATTTAACTGTTAACTTTGTGGGTCTGAACTCCTTTACTTTCAATTGTCACAGGGCGTTTAGCTCTCCAAGATAATCCCACACTTGATATTCTGTCATTCAACTTCTATTCAAGAAAGTAGAGCCTCCCACCACTCATCCTAGGTTTCTAACATCCATAAGTTAATTTCTAAAGCTGACACAGAATTGCCATCATGATCTCAAATTGTCTTTGAACACCTTAAAATCACCTTCTACTTTCGTATTTTGGTCACTGATACTATCCAACTTTTCCAAATTGGAATAGTGGCTCAATTTAAAAAATACATATATTATTCCTATTGAATTTCTACTCCTAAATTGTCATCTTGAAAAGCCACTTCCTCTCTTCAAAATATACCACAAAACATTTAATTTTATGTTCAGTTTAACAACTTCCTATAAGGCTCCGTGCTGGAATGAAAACCAAAATACTATTTTAGCTTCTTGCAGAGAATTTAGACAAAACAGCATAAACAAATGATTTGTGCAAGTCTGACTTTGTCCATTCTAACTACTTGCAATGTATAGAAATCAATTACCTTTTAACGGCAAGGTAAGAAATACTTACCAAGAATGTTAATTACACACCTCACAAGCAAAGCAGCCTGCGCTACCACGCTATGTTATGCTAAATCTAGGAAGCGTGAAAAATAACAGCAACTGAAGAGTCATACAATTACACCACTTAACAAAAAATTTTGGATCTGTTTTAAAACAAAGGGCCAAGCGCACTATATATACAGAAAACGAATCTTCCTCTCCACGACTTACTGATGTTTGCACCATCATAGCTCGCTGGTCTCGCATTTTCCGTACAATATCCAACGGATAAACAGGTTGGTTTCTTTCAATTAAGCACATGGCTGTTTCCATAGTGACCAATACACCAGTGCGACCAATTCCAGCACTGTGAAATGCAACAGAAAAATAGTCTGTAAAATTAGGGTTTTGCACTGCACTAGATTCTTATCACAGTCATAATACTAGGATGGCTAAATAGCCTTAGAAATCACAGGAAGACTGTAGTAAAATCAGAACAGACTGTGAAGCTTATCTCTAAAGCAACTTCAGTAATATTTTCTGCCAATTATTAAAAAGATTTTTATTTTTTTTGGTAAAGCTAAAACCTCAGAGTAAACGGATTTTTAACAATTATAACTGCTTACAAATCTAAATGTACTAGTTTAGTATTTTATTGCTTTTTGACAGGGACTTGAAGAGCAGGAAAAAAACCCCAATCCTTTGCACTGCTGTTCAAAATGAGGTTACAACAGCGGTATAGGATAAAAAAGGAGAAAAACTTACATCGCAGATTACCAGCTTTGTGATAATTACATGACTAAGCTGTTTCACAAAAGGTTGCAGGAGAAATGGAGAGAAAAGAAACTCCTCCTTTAGATACAACACCAGTGCTTCTGTCTCAGCAGTGAACACTGGTATTGCACAGTTTAACATTTTCATCTCATTCAAGCAATCTTTTGTCTGGCAGACAAACTTTTCAAATCAAATGCTTATTTCCAAGGCTGAAACAAATTTCTGATCAGAATTTTAAAACCCATGTACCTGCAGTGAACAAGAACCGGCTCATTCTCTATTCTCTTTGGCCTCATGCAGGTCACAAACTCCAAGAAGTCCATGGAGTCGTCAGGAACACCATGATCAGGCCAAGCAACGTACTGGAGATGGGTGATGGTGTGTTGTTGTTCTGTCTGAAATATAGTAAGGTTTACAAAGCATTCAATGTTGTGACTCCTGTTTACTAGGTACAAATCATACTTTTCACAATAGGCATATCTGCAGATGCTATAAGATGCATATGATGTAGAAAATGTTTGGCATTTTAAAATTGAGACAAAAGTATGAACACATAGTTCTTAGAAAGCATGCAAAAGGCATAACATTATCTAAATAAATGAGATACAGAGTTTAACTTCAGTGATCCAAGCAGATTTTACTTTTTTTTTAATTTATTGACTATTGACCTGTTATACGTTGGCATCAATGATTCACCTGAGACAAAATGCTACAAGACTTATGCATAATACTACAATATAATAGTTTAGAACAAGTTGGAAGAAACAGCTGAGAACAGCAGAAGAACTATTGAGAACAATATCAAAATAACAGGGTCTTGAGGCTACACAATCTATTCTAAATATGTCTGCCCGTGTGTGCTTACAGATTCAGTTTATGTTATTAAAGGTGCCTGCCACATTTACTAAATCTGGTTTCTATTAGAAAACCATATGCATATTGTTCATTCATACATGTTCATTGTGTATATATGAATGACACATAGGATACTGTTCTGTGTGGAGGCAATACAATTAGTTAAAAGATTCTGTTGTATGAATAGCTCTTTTCTCACTCAATTTTATCTAAAAAAAATAGTTTTACAGAAGCTCTTTCACTTTAGCTTTTTCTTAGTTTTGGTTATGAAATCACTCAATCATCTTTGCATTCAGACTGGGGCTCAAGTGCCGTGCTACAGGTGTAACCAACAATTAGGGTGGGAAGGAAAAAAACCTAAGACACTTCTGAGCTCTGCTGCATCCCACAACGAGGATCTTACACTTTTCAAACTGAGACAAGTCTTCGTGTTCCTTTATTTTTTCCACACATTTAGCAACACTTAAACTGTAAGCAGCGTTTCATCATTATCCATTCCTAGACTTAACATTTGACACCCTACTGAAATAAAACTCTCCTTTATCACTGTATTAGTCTATAAAACTTGGCCTCTCCCTAGTGGTCCATGCAAGAACGTTTTCATGTCATTAAGAGGTTTATGTCCTTCTCTGCTAAATGCACAACTGCTGAAATATATGACCCATTTTAAATGTCTTCTAATTGCTCGATTTCTCTTCTGCTTGAGGAAGTGGTTCGACTCCCAGGGGAGGAGGCTAGTAAGATACAGAAGACACTAACTACAGCCTGTGTACCAAGTAGAATCCTCAGAAATGCTGTTAATCCACTAAAAGTAACTGCAGAAATTTACAATTGCCTCCAGGGACACAAATTACACAAATTACATGGGGATGTATCATCCAGGTCATCAAAAGACCCCATAATGACCAGGATCTCCGCAAGAAAAAAACATGGCCTTTTCCTGCTCAGTTTTGCTGTCATTATGTAGTTGAGCTTGACCAAATGATTACGCTTTAAATTTTTCCACAGATTGAGAAAATATAAAATCATGCAACGGAAACATCATTAATAGGTCCTCTATCTGAAATCTGCCCATGCTTAATCAGAACCTCTTCAAAAGGGAAATGAAGTAATGCAGCAATTACATGTAACAGTTTGAGGTGATTCTCTTAAATCAGAGACATTTGAATTATAGTATTCGGGTGAAACAAAGACTGATTCATTCTAAAATTATGCAAGAGGGAGTATCCAGTCACTTTCCATGTATGTCAAGAACTTCAAGTCACACCTCATGGATAAATGCCAGTGGCACAACCAAGAACCACTGACAGTGATCAGTAGCATCAAAAGCCATTTCACAAGCTCAGAGAAGAGGAAAGAGTTAATTTTCAAGCTCAAATACAGCAAGTGGATTTTTTTTTTTTCAAGTAGTTCATAGACATTAAGTACAACAAGCATGTTACATAAGACTTATTTGGAGTAAGAATAAGCTGTAAGAGCATCCTTAGAGCTGCTTCTTTTGGTGTGATTATCTTAATTTTCTGTAATGTGCCCCATTCATCCACAGAGACCAACACTGCTGTTTGCTAGTTATTCCAGGTATGCCTCAACCTTCAATATAGTCTTCTAGTCATTTCTGTTTTGATATCATCAGTTTTGATTCTTTGGTCAAGGACTTCCAAGACGATTCAAATTGTTAAAATTTGACCATTACATCACTTGCTTTTCAAATGCACAAGTATTTTAAAATACATTTTTTATTAGTAATTTAAAGTTACTGTAAACAGTAATTATATTCATATATGTCAGAACTAGGTTTTCTAATTCTAATATTGTTACATCTCAAACAGAAGATACCAGACCAGTGCTCTGATGAAATTCAGATTTTAATTTTTTTTTAAAACTACTTTCAGTGTTGGGGTTTTTGTTTGCTTTTTCCTCTTTTTTTAATATAAAATCTTCAACTCTTTACATTCATAACAAAAATCAGCTTTTAAATTCAAAAAGCTTCAGCCAAATATCACCGCACATGGAAATGACTTGTATTAAAAGACCATCATGGTTTCTAAAAAATCTAGCATTTATACATTAAAAAAGTGCTAATATTATAGTAACTGCTCCTATAATTAGCCCCACTGTACATGTCCTATTAACAATACTTATTTATAAACACAATATTTCTGCCAGACTCTGCTTCTTTGTGTAAACCTAGTAATGGAAAATAAGAGGTAGCTTCAACTCAAGTTGCTGTCCAAACCATTATTCTCTGCAAGCCAGCCTAATTTCTTTCCAAAAATTTACTTTCCTGCACTGAGGTTTTCAGTGACAGTTATTATTGTAGCAATCTAATAAACAATAAATGTAGACTTTATAAAAACTGGTTTTATCAGTTCTGTTTTGAAAGTTTACACTTACAGAAAGTGAGACAGCAAGCATTGCTCATGGCCTGACTGCTGTCTTTGCCTATCTTGACATTAGGCACCTTGTACCAAAAAATATTTCATGCTTTCTGCACTCACATAGAGTGATGTCAATGGAATTTATGTTTTTGGTATTTCCACAAATCATCTTAAAAATGGTTGATTAAAAAAAAAAAAGAGTCCAAACAACTTAATGAGTCCAGTGACACTTGTGAATTATGTAATTTGCCCAGTTTACCATTTATCAGCAAACATTTAGCTGCTTCACAGCATTGACCCACATTTACTTGGCACGTAGCTACAGAAGTCTAAGACATCATATCTATCCCATGGTATTTGTTATTTTCCTTCTGATAATGGTTACTGTTGCTGCAGCAAAAGTGTCAGCCAAGAAAACAGCTGTATTTGCACCTACCCCTCCTGTGCAAATTCTCTTATTGCAAAAGTAAATTTAAGGTGGTTAAGCCAATATCCTAGATTTTGCTCAAAATCCCAAATCTTTTCTAATAAGCCTGCCATTGGGATTGCAACTCCTGACAAAGTACAGGGCTGACAGAGGTAATGCTTCAAATGGCTGCTGCAGCACTTGCAAAACAATCTCATTGTCAAGACCTTTAGCACAAAATTATCCATTCTTCCTCGTTCTGCAGTTTGCAGCCTTGCTTATTATAATTACACCAAAAGGCAGGCTTCCTTGTTTCATTTGCCTAAAATGACTCTCCCTGGTTTATAAAAGAATCACGTGTTCTTCAGAAAAACAACATACAACTTAGAATGATAATTGTGGTATAGAAAGAAGGAAATTTAGGATTGAAAGGCCAACTTGAATTTTGACTGTTCTTAAAATCCAAGCAATTAATTTTGCATTTCACCTTTTCATTTAATGTCTTTTTTGGTCTAGGTTATAATATAAACTTCAATAAAAAAATAAAAGAATAGAAATTTCACCACATGGAACTATATTAAGCTTGAAATAGACTTATTATCTTCTAAACAGGAAAAGGTGCACTCTTTATTAGTGAGCTTCACAAATATACCTTGAAAGCTGAAACTCACTGATCAGAGTTAAAAAGCCTAGTTTTTGAAGAGTATATACTTTGGCAGTAGCATTTGGCTTTTTTTGGAACTTTTGTTCCCACCTAATTATGCTTCTGTGCACCCTTGCCATAACACTTTTGATCTTTTGTTCTTCAGCTCTTTACTGTTCAAAACCAACTCTCTTTTTTCTGCCACGGGTATTTGACAGAATAGAACAGGTTCAGTGCAGACATATTTCAGAGAAGCCTTTAAAATACCTCTGCAGAGCGACAGGTTTGTTCAAGACATTTATGACATGGTCAAATTTATGTAAATTTCTGTGAGAAGAGCAAATACAAGGTCTAACTGAACGCGCAGTGCAGAAGCAAAAGTTTCAGTGAACCAGTCTGAGAAACTTCAACATTAACTTAAACTCAGTATTTCCCCCTACAAGCTGTTGTACGACATGCCTAGCAAGGAAACAAATGGCATGGAAAGCCTAAGCCCAAATAAGTAAGATGTGTAAAATCTACAGAGATTCTATTTTCAGCTATTTATAGGAGAACGTGCCAGCAGTAGACTCATTTACATTTGCCTTTCTTTCATCTTATATCTATTTAACATCGTCACTAGAAGGTCCACATGCTCATCATTCTTAACCAGCAATATCCTTCCTTAGCAAAATTAATTTATGCTTAATCTTCAATTTGTTTGAACTGCTGCATCAACTTCTTTTCTTTTTCTTCAAATCATCCCGTCCATCACTGTGATGTCCATGGAAAGTGATAGCTTTTAAATTAAAAAGAAGTTTATCTCTTCAAATCCCATTATTTGCAATGCATTGTCTGCTCAACAGTCCACAGTACGACATAAGGAATTGTCTTAATTACCTTCACCTGGGTTGCTTATAAGGTGTAAGTGCTCTCCTGCTGCTCACTCCTCACTCATTATAGCAATGGTATAACTTGTCTTCAAAGGATGAAATTCAATTCATTTTTAGACATCCTGAACTTTTTTTCTTTTAGTTTGAATGATTTATTTTAATTAAACTAATCAGGTGGGAGAATGACAGGGCACTTTGGAAACAATGAAAGTGCAGCAAAAACTAACATAAAATGTGGTAGAATAATGAAAAAAACCCAACCACCTTGCAAAATTACAGTTCTTCAATGTGAGTAATATTCTTCAGCAAAAATCTTGCCTTGCTAAGTTCCATGGCTGGATTCTAGTCACACTTAAATGAAATCAAGAAAAATGCTTGTTTAAACAAGGGAAATCCCCCAAATGTGTTGGTTTTTTTTTTTTTTTTCCAAAACGTAACTGGATCAAATTGGTGAGATTTAATGGGCAACATGTTGTAAGGCAGTTATCTTTAAGGAAAGAAAAGAAGTATCTTTTCTTGAAAAGAAAAGACAGGGAATTAATCCTCATTTCATTTAATGAGGCTTAGAAAGGTTACAGGTGTTTCACACATTTGCTGATCTTCAATTACAGGTAAAGAAGCACTGGGTTAAACTGCATCAGAAAAATCCTGAAAAGTTTCTTGTTCCTCAAGTCTTCTGAACATATATTAACAAAAGGCCAAGGGCATCATTTAATAAACTTCTCTTTTGAGTTATTTTCCCCTTAAGGCATATTTGAAATCTGTGCAACTTAATTCACAGGAAACTTTTTCTGCAAATATGCCTTTCCGACAGAAATCAAGTCTCTTATGAGTTTGGAAGCTGTATTCACCTCACTATTAAAAGCTACTTGTCTTCAAAAAGACCAGTCCAATGATGCTCACATTAGTACAGGGAATAATAAAATCCTAGTTTGAATTCAGATGACTTTTTTTGTATGCTTCAAAGAGCACAGCTGCAATACCTATGAGAGACAGTATATATAAAGCCTTGCAAAGTCTACCCAAACACAAGATGCCTCCAGAAGAATAGATTTGGTCAGCTTTAAGAAAGCAGCTCAAATTATATGTAAAACCAGGAGATACTTCAGTGTTTCAGAGTTATTTTGCTATGTTTTAACAAGATACAAAGGTTTTTATCTCCATCTGAAACACCAAGTGCACACAGAGATATTAATTATTGGAGTCATATTTTTACTGTATGGACAACTCAATGTTCTTCTGAGAGTAGTCACTTTATTTAAGCACACAAATAAACTTGCCTTTAGTAAAAAAAAAAAAAAAGCACCACAAAACAATCAATATAAAAGTCCCACTCAAAACAGCCCTGCCCTCACTGCAACAAACACACATCCACCTAGGACTAGCTTTCGTGTGCTTTTGTCTAACGTAGATGAAATCTATGCAAGCACGTGCATCAGAAATGGTGCTTTCAGCTGAGAGCTATGGTGACACCACTTACACAGCCGAAGATCCCTCCCTCCCTGTGACTTTCACATCTGTTAATATGTCTACAAAGGCATGATATATTCTCACACAACCTTTAGGTGAAAAAGAATTAACTTGTATTTAGAAACAAAATTTACTGCCCCATTCTTGTTAGGATCTTGTCTTTATCACATGCTGAATGTGATATGTCTTTAACACATACTGAATACAATCACTGGTGAATTTACTCAAAATTATGTACCAGTTTCAAGAAAAACAAGTATTTGAAAAGAGGGAACTAATATTTACTTGAAATATTAGCTAACCAAAGTTAATTGGCAATCAACTAATTTGAGTGACAGGGACTAAAAGTTTGTCTCCATATATGTTGTGCATTACTGCTTTAACGAGTTTAATTTCTTTTGTGTTGACATTCAGTTTTCTCAATTATAGATTAATAGGCTGCAAAACAGAATGCAAAATCTTGCTGCTCCCTGAGTGGTTTCTCATAGCTGGAGACTGAAACATTGTAAACCATCTTAACTGAAAGACTTAGGTACTGGCATGTCACATGTTTATGACTGCAAAAGAAATCTTAATCACGTAAAAACAAATTTGGATGCACTGTCAAATGATAGATTCAGTTACAATATTATGAGGCTAAAGGGTTGGTCCTATTTCTGTAAGAACATCAGTTAAATATTACATTTTAAAACAGATATTTCCTTTTTCTTATTACTAGCAATTTCAGTAACAGTAAACTCTACTTAACCATGCAGAAGTTTAAAAGATTACTACTAATAGAATTATAAATTAGCATTTGATCAGTACAGAGTGATTTCTTACACATGTATCTTAACAACAGCACAAACTCTTCAGCTTTTCAGAAAACACTTGTGACCATAGAATTTTGGAAAAGATATGAAGAAGGAAGTGTGTAAGAAACGTAGGACAATTTACAAACAAAAGCCAAACTTCATCCCCTATATTCACAGATTTCACAACATAAGCTGATAAGCAAGAAGTATTTCAGGTACTTAACATTTTTTTCCTTTATAAACCTCCCATTAGCATAAATTTTTACAGCTACAGAATATACGTACCTTACATAAAGTTAGCATATTTCAAATTGAGATATATAAGAATTTGTTTTCTTTTTAAAAATCTGACTAAACAAAGTGAAAAGTAAGTGGTGAGATTCTGCATCTTCTCTCAAAACATTATTACAATTCACTTCTTTGTTAGCTATTCTTGCTGCTTGTGCCATTAACCTAGTGATCCATATTTCATCCTTGAAAGAGCAGTTACTCAGGAAAAAAATCTCTCATTGAAAATCAAAATACTTGTGAAGAGTCAGTGACTGCAAAACTGTTTACAGAAAAGCAGTAAAAATCTTTATGGAGCTTATTAGAGTACTCATACAGCATAATATATTAATGTATTATAGAACGTCAAAAGTATGTTTTTGAAGAAGCTCTATAGAAAGAATCATGCTATGTCAATTCATATAATATTATATTTATTCTTTTTGTGAAAATGTGTATATATATATATATATACACACACACAGGCACATGTATATTCACAGACATACACACTAAGACACATGGTCTATATTTACCTGTCCATACATGTTTTCATTCAGCTTGCCTGGGGTTAATTAAAGATAACAGGCACTTACCTCAACGTTTGTAATCACCATTTCTCTAACAACGTAAGCAACTGTACAATCTTCAGAGTTGCATTTGACACGAAAGCTGCCATATTCCATTACATCTGGCGGATCAGGCCAGTATTGATGACACTTGGTCTGTAAAGAAAATTAAGCATGCATCGAGACTTTTTCCCATCCTGTGCTCTGGGTTCAAGGAATTCAGTGAGCAGTATAAAATCTATTCTGGTTTGTGACACAAGGTAAAATGTAGGAGGAGAAACAAATGGATTTTTCCGATCTTAAGAAGAAAAGCAAAGGGCGCAAATTTATAACTTCAACCACCCAACAGTAGCTTATAATGAAGACAGAACCACACTTTTCTTGAAATGAAAGGACAAGAAGTGACTGAAGAAAAGATGCAAAAAGGGAAATTCTGATTAGAAGTCAAAATTTCCATGAGGATGGTCAAGCACAGAAAAGAGGTGCCCTACAAAGTTGTGGAATCTAAACTCATGAAAATATTCAAAATTTAACTGACATGACACTGTGCAATCTGCACAAAATTCAAAGGTGCCTCTGCTTTGAGCAGAGAGGAGTGGATTACATATCTCAACAGGTCCCTTCAAGCTTGAGTTATTCTTAAACCTTGAAACAGTATCATGCTGGAATGCAAAAAAATAGTGCAAATCAGTCTGTCCTCCACTATTTCAACGCTGCAGTCTCACAGCTG